CTGCAATTAAGTAGTCATATAGACTTTACTGATTCAAGAGAATAAAAATTCTTATAGATTATATATTTTTCTCAGAGGTAGTGACGAATATATAAAAAGTCCATATCATTGAATATCAAACTAAAGTTATACATCATTGAAATATGAAACAATAAAGACGTAACATTTTGTTTATATGATACTTACTAGTATATTTAAAGAAAGTGCCTGTATACTTCTAGGGCATGACTACAACCAAAATATTCAGGCGCTGCAAAAAATAGGTTATATATATATATCAATTAATTTTTTAATATATGATAAAATATGATAAAATATGTTAAATACAATTAGATAGCTAGATACATTAATACACATGAAATCGAATCAGTTGAACTATGATATCATAAAATTATGGCATCCTTAGTTATACATATTAATAATTAATACAAGAAGTCTGGGAACGCACTCTCATTTTTTTTCCATTGTTTAGTTTCAGTTTGTGTTTCCTTGAACTCAGTTAGCAGCATTGCCTGTAATAGAAAAGATCACGATATAGAAGCGTGTTGCTACTGATGGCAATCTGGTTTGTTAATATCAAATTCTCAGATAGGAGCGAAAGACATTATGAAAATTCTTCATTCTAAATCAGTTGAACTATGGACTCATCATAGAATATATATTCATGTAAATATTGAAAATATATTTTAGAAACATACTCACACGAATTCGTTGTCCATTGTACTTCGAATTCAATACGTTGTCTGCTGTAATACAAAAGTGCAGAATATATATTTTTCTGTTTCCATACAAGCTTAACGTATTACTATTAGATAATGTTATCAGATAGGAGCGAAAGACATTATAAGCATTCTTCAATCTAAATCAGTTGAACTATGAAATCATCATGTATATCGTTAACCAAACAAGAATTATTTATTTAACACTCTCAGGTGAGACATACCGTTGCTTAAAGTCATCGAGACTTCTCAAATTTCCCTTGCACGAAAATCCTTTCCACATCTATATTTTCTTTCACATTTACAGTACGCCTCTTCACATAATCACATGTTAAAGTTTTGAAACCAATTGATTCAAACAAATCCACTACTTCCTCTATCGTGAAATAGTAACTCCTTGAATAAAAATAGAGATCAATTAAAAACATAACTTAAAAGAAAGTTCTAACAAGAGTAGAATCAAAAAACTATACCTAGTTCCGTCGTGTCTTACATAAAAATTTTCACTGATCTTCTGTCCTGGCTTGAACCTCAACTGAGCCATATCATATCGACCATAATCCCTCAAGAGTACAACTCCTTTATCATCAAGAACTCTATACACATTCTCAATAACTCTGGAATAAAATAAAAACTTTTACTTAAGTTCCAACTACTATAAAAAAGAAAAAAAACGACAATACGAAGAAACCAAGAGCATTTACCTCCGAAATTTCTCGGGATGAATGGCTGACAAAACGAATATTAAAGTCGCCGCATTCACAGGGAGGTTCACGTCTGCGAAACAATCCTCTGTGGTAACATCGGCCTCGAAGATCTTCATCTTGTCTGAATCGTACAATGCGTGCGCCTGAAAAATGTACCATAGAATGAAGACCACGTGGACACAGAGAACACGAGTGCAACAAATACAGAAAGAAATATATATATATACCTTCATGAATTCCACCGCTCTGGGAGACAAATCGCAGGCAAATATTTGTTTAAACTTCAGTCCGTCTTCGATCAAGGGATACACGAAATTGCCAACGCCGCAGCCAATCTCGAGAATGACCTTCGGATCCTCCAACGACCCTAAGCCCAGAAGCTCGCTGAATTCTCTGGTGGTCCAGTGTCTGTCCTTGAAGAATCTCGTTTCGTTTCTCTTGTAGAACAGGTCCCAATGCTTCTTGGCGTATTTCTCAAATTGATCGGCTCGAAATTCGGTGACCAAACGCGAATTCTGTTTCCGCATTTTCTCTGTCTCCTCCTCGGTGAGATGCTTCGCCACGTGGTCGACGTACTCACCATTAGGGTCTGTCGATTCAGCCATTTTCACGTGACTTGTAATTCAGCGAATTACGAGGCCGCTCGAACATTCCGCGAATATTCCTCAAACTGTGAGCTTAATTTCCGATGATGGAGCGAAATATTTGCACGAAAACGGTGTGCAACGGCTACTGGAACGGCGAAGTAGGTGAGGACAGGTCCAGCGAGCGTCCCAAAAGGAAATGAACGAGGAGCACATGCGTAACGTTGCTGCTGCCCCACCGTTTCTCGAGCGATGGGGAATTACCCAGAGACTAGTAACATCAGGCTTGCCATTGTCAGGAAATTGTCTGGGAAAATTTGAATCGCGTTCAGCGTTGCCTCAGGTATTGTAACGGAGACACAATGGAATTAATTGTAGGAGAATTGTAACGAAGCGAAATATGTTGCGCAACACTGTTATTATGTAGCAACACTGTTCCCGCGCAATGTTCACGCGTCGCAATGCCGATCGTTCAGGCGTGTAATGATGCGATTTGAATGAAGTGGATTAATTGTAATATCCTGTCGTGTCGGTAATACATGGACGACATCGATATTTAACTAGAAAACGAAATTCATTTGTGTCGTGATATATTCGAATAAGTTGAATGTAACTGGAATTTTTGGAACGCGAATGAGTTAAAGATAGATTTTAACTATCTTGTTTCGGGTTCATTAATTAAATGACTTTAATATTGTGAGAATTTTCGGGGCGAATATTCGAGGTTTAACGTGTTAAGCATTTTTGCAGTTTTTTTAGACTTTTTGTGGTGATAGTAAATTTTAAAAATTCTCTGTTAATGATCCTTCAATATCTCCAAGGTCCTGACATAACCATACTGTAAAAAATCTTCTGTTATGGACTTGACAAATTCGAGGATCATTTTGAATCCATCTCCTGCTGAATTTATTATATTTATGTTTCTTATTATGTGAAGTATTCGAAGAATTTGGTAATGATTATATATAATGATATATATTATATAATAATTATATAATAATGTAATGAAAATAAATAAATGAATGAATGAATGAATGAATGAATAAATAAATAAATAAATAAGTAAATAAATAAGTAAATAGATAAACAAATAAATAAATAAATATATAAATAAATATAATATAATAAATATATATATTATCTCTTGTGTATCATGGTAAAAAATACGAGATCTAAAATTGTGAGAGCTTCCACGTCTTCATACTTTCTCGATCATTTTCTTCTTTATTAGTAGATTGCGAACTTTCTGCATTTATTACAAAAATGGATGGATGATCTACGAATAAATACAAACATCAAAAAAATCATCACGTGTAACAATTATTACGGATGGAAAGTTTCTAATCATTCCTACTTCATGAGAAAAATTTCTGACGTAGATGTTATAATTAGATCTTATTGGGGACGTATTTGATTGCATGCAAGACATTTGCGTTTGGCAGAAATGAATCTTAAAATTAATTTCCACCGGAGAAATGGGGAAGAGGGGAGAGGGGTAAAATTTTTTGGAGAAGCGCCCTTGAAACGGTGCCAGGCTTATTTGCGTGTAGTTTGTTAATTAGCGGCGATTTTAATCGTCCGCTTTAATGGTCCTCGGGGGACAGCTCGATGATCATTGGTATGAATTCCGCGCGCGAACTTATTCGACGCGATTAATATGCGGTCCTCGTAACGGAATGAATATTTTCTCCGTGTGCCCGCCATTGTCGCGCAATGACACAGTGCCGAAAGGGGTTACCCGTGACTGAAATTCAGTTGATAAGTGTTCTGGCTCGTTCGAGGGACTTACAATTAAAATAATACAACGGACCGTGTGTAGATTGTTGCGCAAGCACCACCGTGTTTGATAATAATTCGGCGCTATTTGCGCACCCGCGCGCGCGCGCAAGCCGCTTTCCGCGGATGTTACAGGCGTGCTTGAACCGTTCTGTTCGGGCCGCTTGTTAACATACGCGCCACTCGTCGCGACGAAATTCTCGAGTGCAATTATAATGCGAGCGGAGTCGATAAAGAACTCGTTACTGCAAAATTCGACGCGGGCCGCACGCGTCGATCTGTTATCAAACGCGATACCGATCGCTCGCGACGTCGCGCAGTTGGCCAGATCGAAGATTTTAGTGACTTTTTTTGACAAAAACCTAATTTTCTCATATCGATGTCCAGTCAATTCTTTTTTTTTATTGCTTGTTAAATGTCCATTATCCTCGAAAGCGGAGATATTAATAAAAATGATCATAAATTGTAATATATAACGATAATTTAAAGTTGAACATTTCGAACACTACATTTGACGCCAAAAAATAACATTAGCATTATACTTAAACAATTTTTTTTCACAAGAAATGTCAATGAAAGTTAATTACAAATTATTGTTTGACAAATGCAAAAAAAAGTTAATTATCTATAGTTGAAAGTAACTATTTTTTAAATATTTTTGGTGAAAATTTCATTGCAATATCTTTGATGGTTCAAAAGTTATAAGAGAATGTCACTGAATTTCTCGATCCAGCTCACTGTGCGCCTCCCTTTCTCTCTCTCGTTAAATATTTCGCGGACGATGCACGCGGCGCGATCCGAAAACTTGCAAACGGAACGGGGCCGAAGGAAAATTAATCGATCGAGTAGTATGTAGGTCATTGCGGACCACAATTTCTTCGAGAGAGCTTGACGGAGGTCGCGGCGATAGATTAACCGAATGAAATGAAAAACACGTTTCACGAGTCGCGGTCGTTAGCGCTCCCTTAAGTAATGTATTTCGTGGCGGTCGCTGCGTCATCCCGGGATTTTTGCCATCGAAAAATAATTGATCGCCGGTCCCGGACCCGCTCGGGTCATTAGCGGGTCGCGGACGCGTCGGAAAATAAGCGACCGATAGAGAATGTACAGGGTGTCCCAATAATGTCTCGCAATCCGAAAGTGGCAGGTTCCTCGGGTCATTCGGAGCAACTTTTTCCTTTACAAAAATTTTCTCCGAGGCTCCGTTAACGAGTTATTCAGGAAAAACAGTGACCAATGAGAGGCAAGCTCGGCTGGTGCGAGGCGACCGAGTCAATGAGCGGAACTGGGCTTCGTGCGCCGGTTGGCTGGGCCGCGTCGCGTCAGCCGTACTCGATTCTTATTGATCACTGTTTTTTCGTTAATAACTCGTTAACGGTGCCTCGGAGAACATTTTTGTAAAGGACGAAGTTGCTTCAAATGATCCAAGGAGTCCGCCACTTCCGGATTGCGAGACATTTTTGGGACACCCTGTATACCGGCGATAGAAGGGTCCGGGGGTATTAAAAGCGAACGAATCCCTTCTCGAGCATTGGCCGGCCAATGCTTTCCCCGATTTACATAATTTCGAGTCCCCTGCTGCTGGACGGTTCTCATTAAGCGACCGGACCACTTTTTCTTCCCTCCCGGCGAAATTGATTACGCGGAGAGAGAGGGAGAGACGAGTTTTCAGAAATCCTATCGCGTCGCTTCTGCCTCGGCCGGATGCAGGATGGCACGGTATATCTTCGCGCGAATGGGACACGCGGTAAGAAATAACGTCTGGCGAGCGTGGCCGTACTCTTAAGCAAATTAAAATTAATTTTTTTCTTTGTTTCTTTTTGCCCGCGAACCGGCAAAACCGTCTTTGCCCGTAGATTTAGAACATCTATTACGGCCGTTCATATTCCCGCCGTAACCGGGACAAATGTTTCCCGGGCGATATTTTACATTAGCGCGGAAGCTAAGAAATACCTTGGAGTTTATCATTTCTCTCTCTCTCTCTCTCTCTCTCTCTCTCTCTCTCTCTCTCGGTACCGCTGGCCCGGAAAATGCCGGCGCGCTACTGAATTACATCGACTTTATAATAATTCTGTTACAGCCGGAAGCTTCCATTTGCATTCGCTGCCGGCAACGTTATTAATTTAAAATAGAGATCTCGCAAAAGCAATTTATGTGCTGGGGAACGATGAGTATGAATTACAGACAGAGAGGAGAGAGAACGCTCCCCTGCGAGAACGATTCTGTTGCCTTCAATATGAATGAAAAGGGACGCTGAGATTTCCGGGGTGAGGTGCTCGAAAATGTTCAAAGGAAGAGGGGATTCATTCGTGGGAAATTTTTGTTTAACCCTGATCGTTATAGGAAAAGATACCGTCGATAGAAAATCACCGTTAATTTAAAATGGTAAACTGTATTATAAATAAATGCGTTAGACGAAGGAATGTTTAACATCGAATAGGGTCGAAGTTACCGTCGAATGTAAATAATGCGAGTGGAGTCGATAAAGAATTTGTTGTTATAAAATTCAACACAGGCCCGGGAAAGATTTTCAAAAATGTGCAAAGGTAGAAGCGAGAGAGATTTATTTATATTAGAGAGAAGTTTATTCGAGCTTAGACCATACGTTTCTCGAGAACATTCGTTAAATTTAGCACAGTTTTTAAATTACTTTTTACAGCCGATAATTTCGTCGATCGAAACTGCTTTCATCTCGATCCGCGAGTTTCTAAAGTGTTAGAAACTGGCGCGATAAAAAAACTTGATAACCGATGCGTTTATGCATCGTACTTCGAGCAAACTCGATGTTCGTAATACGAGCAACTACTGCAACATTGCATTCATAGAAAGTCGGGTTGATTCGTAGCGATCTGAATCGTATTTTAAAGAAAGTTAAATTTGCTGGATGAAAAGGGAAAATTCGATTTCGAAGTAGGTTAAGCTTTCTATGGTTAAAAAATGAAATTTGCTATCCTACGATCGAATTTCTCTTTCCGTTAATGCTTCATTTTCTATCAACAAGTGCATTCTATCGACAAGTTCATTTTATCTATCGAAAAAAGTTTGCAGAATTGAAAATCTTTGATGGAAGAAAAATAATATCAATACTCGTGAATTTTCAGAATGCAAATTTTCTGCGCGAATTACAGAAAGCGCGAGCCAGATAGAAATATCGAGTCGTGTAATACGAAATTGCCGGACTGTACAAAGAAGAAGAAGAAGAAGAATCGATTTTTTAAATTCCAACGAACATTCTAGTGCAATATTTTTTTTATTTCTTATTACTTAATCTAATAATTTATTTATTCTTCTTTTTATTCTTCCTACAATTTGAAATTTTCTTTTTATCACGTGTGAATGTTTTCGTCCCCCTGCTCACGTTATAGTATCGTTTACGACAATGTAACCTATTTCACGGTTTTATCGTGTATTACCAGCGTTAAATTTTGTCGTAAAGAATTCCTTAAAATTCTGTATTTTTGCTACGTACAATATTCGTGCGATTTCTTTACGATCCGAGTTTACTCGCTCGAAAGACCAGAACTTTAAAAATTGATTCCACAAATGTTCACATTCACGCGTTAAAAACTTAAAATTCTGTATTTTTGCCGCATACGATATTCGCTCGAAAGACCTCTTTAAAAATTTGCTATTACACGTTAAAAACTCGCCAAAGAAAAGCGTATCGAAGTGATCCAATTAAACCGACATCTCCCAAAAAGCAAAAAAGAAAGCTACGAAGTCTCAACGATTAAAAATCCGCGATTTCGTCAGCGTCGCGCGGTGTTCGAAAGCCGCGATCGCCGATAGAAAACCAAAGTGCTATAATCCAACGCGAAAGAATTTCTAAACGAAAGTGTCTCGCAACGCCGCCGTTAAAAAAATTGAACGTTTTCCTAGCACCGGGCGAGAAGCCCGCGGTACAATTCGTCCGAGAAAACGCGTAGATTTCGAAACGGTGAAACGCGCGGCCGCGCGGAATTCGCTGGCGCGTAGACGGTGCACGGTTCCGATCGCCGAGTCGAGATGGAATCGGCCGCAAATAAACGTTGTAATTAGACAGTCTGGAATTTTTTAATGCATTAACGTGCGGAGAGCTCATCAAGCCGCCGAAGTGCGCGTAGCCGCGGAGCGATGGAGGTCTACGCCGGTAATTGTAGGCGCGGCGAAGATGCCTCGGCCGTGCCTTTTCCATTTGCCGTGGCAGCCAGCGTCGAAGCATCTTATACCGTTCGTCCTCGTGGGCATTCCAAGCGGGAATTCTCGAAAGCCAGTTGTGCCGTAGAAACACGCGCGTCGCCGCCTGCCGTCGCCGCCGCTCGCCTTGCGACTTTCGAGTGCTCGTAAAACCGCCGTTTTCTCGGCACCGCGGACTCCGCTTTCGTGTGCGCCGAATTTTCTCGCGAGCGGACCACCGGCGACCACGGAAGTGCCCCGGCTGCTCGACCCGGAGGATCCCCAGGTTCGAAGGTCAAATTCCGGTGAGTAGCGACTACCTGTCGAGTACCTGTTACCGTGAACCCCGGGGTCGCCTCTCTTTACGAGCGGTTCGTTAACCGCTTTTTCGGGGGGAGAAACGTTCGTTCGGTTGTCGGAATCGCTTGTACCTCGACGCCCACGTCGCACCGTCGTCGACGATATTCGTCGTCCGGATTCCCGGCTCGTTTTCCTCGAGGCTCGCGGAACGATTCGATAAGCGAATCGGCGGCGGCGATTTTTACTCGCTGCTCGTCGCCGCGTTTATCCGACGCGACGACGCGTTTTTCGCGATCAATTTCGATCGAACGTCGTCGAATTCAACTGGTTAATTGCACGCGAACTGGAGCATGATTTAATGAGACAAGTGGCGCGTGACGCGCGGAAAAAATTACACAGAGAAACACGACGAATAATAAACGACGAGATCGTCTCGCGGGGGGCCGCGATCGCCGATTTCCAATTAACGCGCCACCCCGCTTTCGAAAGCGGGCAAACGCGGCGCGGCAGCGAGTTTCTGCGACGTGGTTTTCGAACCAGCTGCGGAAAAACATTCGATTCGATCGCGTTGATTTTCGCCGATGATTTCGCGGCTTTCTTTCGCGCCCTGTCAGCGACCCGCCGGAACGAACGCGTCGTTCTCGCGCGTTTTTCCTCGTAATTTCGCATTATTATGTATTCCTGGATGTTCCTGGATGTTCCTGGAAGTTCCCGAGCGTGCTAAAATCTCGGCCCCGAAGCGCCGAAGCGAAAGGGAAGCAACATCTCGCTGAAAGATCGCTGAAAGATCGAATCGAAAAGCGAAACATTGAAAAGCAGCCTCGACGCGCGGAAACTCGAGTCGGGGAACAGGATCGGTTTCAGCAATTTCGCTTTCGATACAAGTGCCGTGGAACTTCTAATATTTCAAGCAACCTCCGTGGACAAGCTTTGAGAAAAAAGAGACGCGAGGTGCGCGGGATACGTGCCGTATCATTCGCGGGCGCGCGATCGCGCGCGTGAAAATAAAAGCAGCGTGGAAAGATTTTTCGATCGAAGACAAGGCGAACGGTGCGTGCCGCAACGCGAACAGAGAGAGCATCGATCGACGGATTCCCGGCGAACAGTTTCGTTCCGTTGACACGGTTCGCCAGCGGCGATAATCGACGGGTTTCGAAGCGGAAGCGACGATCCTCGTTTAACAGCTAATCGAAACAAAGGAGTCGTTCGTGCGATACGCCGAGGAATACTTTCGCGGGATCTTGCAGGGCCCGCGCACCTCGATGTTCCAACGAAAACGTTGAAAGCCGAAACACGGCCGGCGATTTATTTTGCCAATATTTTCGTTAACGGGAACAAACAACGCGTCGCGACACCGCCGCGGCGTAGAGTACGGGCGTTATCGACACGCCGGAGAAACAGCTATTAGGTTGGTGCATGTGAAATGTCGGATTGTGAGAGCATGGTAATTGCAGTTGAATAAAACTATATTTGTTTTTTGTTAGAGATTTTGCTCGAATATTCGTTGATTTAAATAAGCGAGGTTTCTCGCTTAGTAATATCTGTAGAAATACGAAGTGTGACATTTTTTTTGGAACGTGATTCGTACCTTAGATTCATGCGATGATTTTGGAAAATATACAGAGATCTACCGATGAAAGCATAAATAATAATCGACGTTTCTAATGACGCAAAAGTAGCAGCAAACGATTGCTACGGATCTACAATGGTACAGTAAATTCTCACCGATTTTCCTTCGGCTTGTAAACAAGAATCGGCAATTTGGGAAAAGGAGATACGATTACTCGAGCCTCGGGATTCATTTTTATAGTCGCCGATCGTCGACAATTATAAAAACGAGGTGCGAGGCTCGAATAATCGTAGAGAGAATTTATTGTACTTACGCCGAGTTAGGTTTTGCCAAAAATGCTTCTCGCAATGTGCGACTCTCAAAATTGTGGCGTCAACACGAGCATGTGAAAACAGCGTGATTATCCTTTCGCCAGCGTTTCATCATTTGCAGGACTGATTTGAAAAACGATTCTATTCGCGTTGCCGATAAACGAGACGAGCATTTTGAACCTGATATTAGGTTGGTGCATGTGAAATGTCGGATTTTATTTACACGCGAACGTTCGTCTTCCTGTCTTCGTTATGCTGTTGCTTTTGGCGTAATCTCGTTTATAATCGCGCCGTCCATTGCCAGAGTCACGTTTCAACGAAGAAGATTTTCTCAAAAGCGTTCCATTTTGTTATTCGTTCCGAATTTCGTAAGGATATGAATTCAACCGATGTTCGTGTAATTTTTTTATACGAGCATAAACTTGATGATAATGCGAAAGCTGCGCGCGATATAAACCAGGCGTTCGGGGAGAATACTGTTAACGATCGAAAAGTGCAGCGTTGCTTTGAAAATTTTCGGTCCGATGATTTTTCTCTAGAAAATGAACCGCGTGGAAGGCCCGAAACGTCTGTGAATAATGATGCTTCGAAAGCATCGGTGGAAACGAATGCGACCGGAGTAATTCGCTGCTCGTTCCTTCGAACCGGGGAGACAATTACAGCCGAAAAGTACTGCCGGTGCATCGATGAAACGCATGAAAAATTGAAAATTATACGCCCATCGCTTGTTAATCGGCACGGCCCGATACTTCTCCGCGACAACGCTCGGCCGCGTACGTCGTACAAAGGATTGCAAAATTAAACGAATTAAAATATGAACTTTTGCAGCAGCCGGCTTATTCGCCGGAACTTTCGCCGACCGACTTTCATTTTTTTAAACATTTGGAACAGTTTTCACGGGCTGAACGGTATGAAAATGAAGACAGTCTGAAAAATTCCATATCAGAGTTTATCGATCCTAAAGATCAGAATTTCTTTGAGACAGGCATCTATGCGTTAAAATCTCGTTGGGAAAAGTGTATCGTCGCAAATGGAGCATATTTCGATTAAATAAACAGCTCTTCTGAAAGAAGATACACAGTTTTATGTATTCGCTTAAAAATCCGACATTTCATACGCACCAAGCTAATACAATGGCACGTAATTCCGTCGTGGTTCGCATTCCTGGACGAGCGTGTCGTTCTCAGCGTTCTCAGCCAGCGGCGGGAAAAGTGCTCGGCCCGAAACTTTCTAGGCTGGTATCGCGCGCCGCCCGTGACTGGGAACCTGCTGGTTGCCCACGTTGCAGGGTTGCGAACTGGTCAAATCGGATCTGCATGATCGTTTGCGTAATCCGGACGGAATCGGCGCCCGCGCCCCGACCGGTTGCGCAACGCTATAGAGCACTCTAATCCGCGCCGTGTTTGTCGCCGCGCTTTTACAGCCGCGCGTAAAAATCCGGCTGCTTCGCTCTATTNAAACCAGGCGTTCGGGGAGAATACTGTTAACGATCGAAAAGTGCAGCGTTGCTTTGAAAATTTTCGGTCCGATGATTTTTCTCTAGAAAATGAACCGCGTGGAAGGCCCGAAACGTCTGTGAATAATGATGCTTCGAAAGCATCGGTGGAAACGAATGCGACCGGAGTAATTCGCTGCTCGTTCCTTCGAACCGGGGAGACAATTACAGCCGAAAAGTACTGCCGGTGCATCGATGAAACGCATGAAAAATTGAAAATTATACGCCCATCGCTTGTTAATCGGCACGGCCCGATACTTCTCCGCGACAACGCTCGGCCGCGTACGTCGTACAAAGGATTGCAAAATTAAACGAATTAAAATATGAACTTTTGCAGCAGCCGGCTTATTCGCCGGAACTTTCGCCGACCGACTTTCATTTTTTTAAACATTTGGAACAGTTTTCACGGGCTGAACGGTATGAAAATGAAGACAGTCTGAAAAATTCCATATCAGAGTTTATCGATCCTAAAGATCAGAATTTCTTTGAGACAGGCATCTATGCGTTAAAATCTCGTTGGGAAAAGTGTATCGTCGCAAATGGAGCATATTTCGATTAAATAAACAGCTCTTCTGAAAGAAGATACACAGTTTTATGTATTCGCTTAAAAATCCGACATTTCATACGCACCAAGCTAATACAATGGCACGTAATTCCGTCGTGGTTCGCATTCCTGGACGAGCGTGTCGTTCTCAGCGTTCTCAGCCAGCGGCGGGAAAAGTGCTCGGCCCGAAACTTTCTAGGCTGGTATCGCGCGCCGCCCGTGACTGGGAACCTGCTGGTTGCCCACGTTGCAGGGTTGCGAACTGGTCAAATCGGATCTGCATGATCGTTTGCGTAATCCGGACGGAATCGGCGCCCGCGCCCCGACCGGTTGCGCAACGCTATAGAGCACTCTAATCCGCGCCGTGTTTGTCGCCGCGCTTTTACAGCCGCGCGTAAAAATCCGGCTGCTTCGCTCTATTACTTAACAATCTTCCTACACGATAAGAGCCCAACATATGGGCTCGCGTTCTTGCGGCAGGTGCGCGGATTATGTCATCGCGCGGAAAACGATACACGGACCGACACACGGATGACGCGAGGCGGCGGTACGGGTCTGGAAAAAACGGGAATCAGTTGCACGTCCCGCAACTTCGACAAATATTAATCGCAGATATTCTCGTAGCCGTGGACCAGTCTGTTAATCGCGCTGACAGAAATTAAACTAAACTAACGTAAACTAAAAGTCTTTTCAGAAAAACGTCGGAGATACGGGAAACGTGTCTGTCGCGGAAAGATCGCGTTTTTCCGCGGTCGAAGATTAAATCCGGTTCGTTTAAATACTAGATCTTTCGATAATTCTGGTTTCCGATAATTTTTGCGACAAATTTTTCGATTAATTCTTCTTTAAATACTGAAATATACGAGCCGTTCGCAGACCGAATCGATTAACTTCGCTTTTTGAAACGTTTTAAATTCAAGCGTCGAAGCACTTGGTTCGACTGTTTTTTATTTATAACAAATTTCCCAAGTAATACGGATCGACAGCATTAAACGACAAATAATAAATAATTTATTTCAGAAGCTGTTCTGATTAACGTCGTACTCTAATGTAAGTTACGTCTGTATTCATGCATTATACAATGC